GAATGAGTCAGCAATGCTTTGAAGAAGGGCTTTGGGATGACTGAAAATACCTCTTTGGAAAATACATCTGTTTCCAAGACAGTCTCCCTGGTCTTGTGCTTCAGCCTGTATGCACATATGTCTCTGGAAAAGCACCTTTCTCTTAATGTCGATATGAAGACAGATTAAAAAGTGAAACCTCTTCATGGCTTCCTTAGCATACAAGAAATGGCTACTTAGACTCATCTTCTCGAGTTTAGAATTCACTATCCATATATATTTTCTCTTACACGCATCACCACTGCTGGATAAGAGTAACAGTTGCTTTTGGATCTAAATGAAAATGTTTACAAAGAAATAACATTTTCAACACATTTTCTGCTTGTTAAGACAGAGAAAAAGCAAGGATTTGGAAATGCAAAATATTTTCACTAAAGGAATTACAAAATTAAGACCAGTCTGGAAAATGGTATCAAAAGTGCTACTTGAAATCCCGAGGTTTATATTAAACCACGCTTTTTACTCAAAAATATTTTGAAAGGTTTCATTTAGAGTTTTGTGTTTCTGTTGAAAAGCAGAAAATGTTCATAGGAAATTTCATTGGTGTGTTGTTGGTGATGAACTTCAGAGAAAAGGTTTGTTAACCAGCTCTGCCCACTGCCTTTGCACCCGGACGAACGCCGCCTCTTTGTTCCCATCACATACGGGTGACCGTGCCGAATCCCCCTCATGTACAGTAGCACTTGCCAATTCCTTCCCATCAGGTTTGCGTCACATGAACCCAGAATGTGAACGTTTCTCAGGAGTGCAGACTCAAAAGTGGCTTCACACAGATCCAGGAGCTGCTGGATTTCCCTACCAACCCTTCACCACCATGACCCCAGCAACCAGGCTCCCCCTCTTTGGGTGTCAGTGGCTTTCTGTGTTGCAGTTCCCAGCATCCCTGGTGACTGGGAATGGGTAGTTTTCTTCCAAAAGAAGGTAGGGTGCCCAGATAACCAGGAGGAAAGGGAAGGAAGCAGCTCCTACTGATGGGAGTCAGGACCTAAGAGGACAGAAGGAAAATCTGCCACTTGCTGAAGGGACTCCAGGGCACAGTGTCATGATTGGGACCCTCAGCTAGAAGCCAGGAGGCTACCCCCATGGTTTTGCCAAATTTCTCCCCTTCTCTCTTCACTCACCTGTTGAGATCCAAAGTTGTCTGAAACTTGTTTTAGGCAGGGAAGTGTTTCTCACCATCCTCTTAAGAGCAGCCTAGGCGCCTTTGGGGATGCTGACCTCTGGGGCCGAGGAGACCGGGGCTTGCAGCACAGCGCTGAGCCAGCCCTGCATGAAGGGGAGAGGCGGCACGGTGGTCTGGCTGTTCCTGGGGATCGAGGAGCATGCCTGCATGCGGGGTGCTGTGGAGAGGAGCTGAACACCTCCTTGCGTCCCAGCCTGGCTGTAGGGATGAGATGCGAGACCCCCCAGCTGGCAGGGCTTTCTGCTCCTCCTGCCGCCGCTGGAGCTGACTGCCCAGTAGTTGGCCAGTGCTCATAGTTTTGCCTTTATCCTTCGCAAATGAAACGAAATACTTCACAGGGTGATAGAAATAAGGAGGCACTAAGATAGTCTGCCTTGTCACAGGGAATCTGATGAGCAAGTTTTGTTACTGCTCTTGGAGGTGGCTTGGAGTGCAGAGCACACCCTTTGCCTCCCTCTTACACTTTGGGAACTCGCTGTGAAAGAGTAACAGACACTGCTGTGCCTCTTCCCTCTCTGCACCCCTCTGACACATCCTAATGAATGAGGATTGCAACGCTTTAAGCTGTCACTTCATCCTGAGACCGAGATTTTATCTTTCGGCTTTCCACTGCAGCCGGTCAATTAAAGCTCGGTTTCACAAATGCATGAAGATAACACAAGCCGACAGACCCACTTAGATGACTGTAACCCCCTTTTTTTTTTTTAATTTATTTGGTTTTTCCCTTCCACCCAGTAGCTTTTGCTTTCCGCCAAAGTGGTGAAGTTACAGTGCCATGTTTCATGCGATGACATCTTAGCTTTATCCCGGTGGTCACCGTTTTAGACGGGCAAACGCAAGCAGCTGGTTGAGGGGAAAAAACGTTAATCCCCAGAACAACACGCAGTGCAAATCCTCATTTCGAAAGCTGCTCCTTAAAGTTTGGGTAAGGAAAATCCTTGGTTTGGGTTAAAATGCAAACCTCCATCATTTGCTGCACTCTGCTAGCAGCGTGGCTGGCCTGCTTGTTTAGCTGTTGCTGCCGTTAACGGGAGAATGATTTCCTCTCGATACGTTCAGATAGATTTTCGTGCCTTTCTTAATTACGTCCTGCCAAGGGCAAAAGTGCTGTGAAGCAGTGAGGTTAATGCAAAAATCTGTTGATTCTAACATACCTGACCTGAAGATTCATAAAAAGCCAATATCAATTTCCCTCCCTCTACCATCATTTAAGAGCAGTCCGAACAAGTGGCTTTGGAGATTTATTCCTTAATGTCAGAAGAAATGGAATTGTTGTCTTGTGCTTTGCTAAATGCTGTAGCTTGTGCAAAACTGGCTCTGCTCGGTGAGGGATGCAAGTGGCGCAAGCAGAGTTCACCGGCAGGCTAAAATTTGGGGGGGGGGAGGGAGAGAGAGGACGTTTTCTCCTTGGTGTCCCATCGTCCAATTTGTCAGAGAGGGTTTTGAGGGCGATGGCTCCAGGTGCTGCGCAGCATTTTTGTCATGGAGATGAAAGGTCACCGGATTTCACGTTTCCTGGTAGTGACAGACGGCAGAATTATGGCCCCGAGTTGTTATTTCTAGTCATTGCGACTTCTCCAGACAAAAGTGTGTCAGCTGTGGTTAACTCTCTCCTCCACGGGATCTACAACTTGCTTATCGCCATTAAAATCAAGCTCGTGGCCGCCACCATCTGGGCTGTCCCTCCTGCCCCCAGGTTCTCCCGCAGTTCAGTGAGAATATCCATCCGTTCTGCTTACGTCAAAGCCTTCCCAACCGAAAACCCCCGACGAGGTCCCCATCCTCCTGTGTCTAGGACTGTAGTCATGCCTGTCTGGTGTTATTCTTACCAGGGTCCTCTCCCCGACCATGAACTATTCATTTCCAATCCTCTGCTTGTCCCTTCCCGTGAAGTCCATCCGCTGCTGTGGGTTGAGCCTCGTTATTGGTGGCACGTGTGGTTTTTTAAGCCCTTCCTTATGCGTTGCTGCAGGGTTGCTCTTTACGTTTCCTTCAACCCATTAGACGTGGTCTGGCAAGGATGCAGGGACCAGGGGGGATCTCCAGGCTATCATTACGGGTTTAAATTGAAAGCGGGGAGGTTTAGATTAGATATCAGGAAGAAGTTCTTCCCAGAGAGGGTGGTGAGGCACTGGAACAGGTTGCCCAGAGAAGCTGTGGATGCCCCATCCCTGGAAGTGTTCAAGGCCAGGCTGGATGAGGCTTGGAGCAACCTGGTCTAGTGGAAGGTGTCCCTGCCCATGGCAGGGGGTTGGAACTGGATGATCTTTAAGGTCCCTTCCAACCCAAACCATTCCATGATTCTATGATCATCTGTGTCTCTTAATCTGGTTTCATCCGTGATCCAGATTAAATGACTTTCTCTTCTTTGCCAACTCCAAGCAACTCTTACCTACTTCTGTGCGCAGGGGGAAAAACTCACTGCGTCCCACCTCCCCCAGTGCTGTTTGTTCAAGGCCAAAATCACCCACTCCCAGCGTTCCCTCCCTGGGGAAGGGAGCAGGGAGCCGTGCCCTTGGAGGTCCTTCCCAGCGACACGGTCATCTTCGCTCACTGCTTAGCTTCACACCACTTGTGCATCCGTCCCCCAGCTGCTGCTCCATGGAATTAAAACCAGATGCGACTTCAAATCAGTGGCCTTGCAGCTGCTCGGGGAAGGGCTGGATGTGAGGGCAGGCAAGGAAAGGGCGGCACAGGGTTTGCGGCGACCCACGTTCTCCTGATTTTACAAAAGCGCTCCTTCAGGATTGTATCCACACATAATCTCAACATTAGCAAAAATGCATCATCGTGGGGGATTTTATGGCACAGCTGTGTCAGGGAAATTAATTTTAAAATTCCAATAAATGCCACAATAGAATTGTTAGCTTCTTCTCCTCTCTAAAGTGTGAAATTCTTCTCGGAGCATTTCAAAGGCGCCTTCACTCATTTACACATACATTAACGCAATTGCTAAAATAGACTTTGCCTTGGCACTTTCATTTTCTTGAGGGATGAACAGAATAAGCGTTATAAATTTCTGTTTTGGGGTCTGGTTGAGCTTTTAATTTAATTTTTGTTGCCACCAATCCTTAACAAAAGAATTTGTTACCCAACAAGACGGATAAAAGCTAATGTGTCCACAATGAAATACATCCTGGCAAGTGTGCTTACTCACGTTAGCGTGGGCTTCTGGAGACATTCGTGATGAAATACTGGGCAGCAGGAAGACGTTTTGTAGATAATCTGTCACCGAG